GGTGGGATAATGATTCCTGCGGGAAAAGACATCCTCTCCTTTTGTTACCTTAAAGTCTTGTCATTTTCTGTCACAGTAATGGCACCCTTGGTACTCATTGGGGATGGATGCTCCGCTGCCTGTTTGTGCTCGTGACTAAACATCAGCCTCAGTGCTGTGTGATCTGATGACCTGAGTAGTGAACAGCACTTCTGACAAAGTTCCCGCAGTGGAAGCAGTGAGATTCCAGGGCTGGCCTTGTAACTTTCTCAGGAAGCACTAAGGAGACAGGTGAAATAAATACCTGCGTTTGGCGTGAAAGAAGGTTACATGTGAGATCACTGGTCAAGTCATTGTGTATTTTAAAGAGATGAAGTAGAAAGGATAGGGTGGCATTGTTCAAAAACAATCTACTGACAAACGGACATGGCCTCGCTCCAATTTTAGTATATGTGCTGCTGAAGCAAGCAGAAGCTTCACCTCAATAAGAATGAACATGACCTCTGTCTAAATGTTTGGAATTCTGGTAAGTCAGAATTTTCTTTAGGTCTAATGTACTTTCTTTAAAATACACATACTTGTGGTAGGGTTGTTAGTCATTAGAATTGTGATATAATTCACATTATAGAATTTACTATGTTAATCATTTTTTGTACTGGGATATAAATCATTTTAAAGTGGTTTGTATTAACAATGCTGTAGAGCCATGCCATGTCTTATCACAGGACATTTTCATCACATACCCCCAATCCCTGTCTCCTTGCATCAGGAACTTTGGCGTGAAGTTTGCATGAACATAGGTAAAAATACTACAAGGGCTGGAAGGTTTGGGCTGAGCACCTGGGGTGGGCATTATGATTAAAAAAAACCAAACTTTTAAAATATTGTTTAAAGTTATTTGTGCATGTTGGTAAAGAGGGATCTCCTGACTTTCTGAAGAAAGGAAGCAATAGCCTGATCCCTAAAGTTAATGGGAAAGATATCCATTGTTTAAAAACAGATTTGTGTCACTGAAAAAGATCAAGGACATATTTATCTTACTACCGGTTCTCTCCTCAAACATGGCTGGTTCTCTTTTAACACTGAGCCTTAGATATGCCTGCCATGGGATGTACCAGTACTCTGGGGAATGTCTTTGTAAATAGAATAAAACCAAAAGATGACAGGACTTTCATTGGGTCAATGGGAACTGGAAAATCAGGGCTAGATATCTTACTAAGTAGCTGTGCATATTAAGGAAGAAAGAAAAGATGTATTCCCATAAGTATATTAGCTTGAAATGGATGCTGTGATCAGAGATAAGAGCTTGCACCACATCAGGTGACTGCTCTTGCACTAACAACAGGAGAGAATAAGGTCTTTTGCAAAGTAACTTGGTTCACCTAATGCAAACGAAGCAATAATTTCTTTAACATTCAACCCTGTATGCTGAGATTTACCAAACTTCTAGAAGTATCATAGGTATTTTCACTGAATTCTGCCAGTAAATAGTACTGTAAGCACTTCAGGTGCAGGCAGTGGAAATGACAGAAGGGATCTATTTTGGGTTGTGATTATTTGCATAAGTAAAATCAACAAACAACACTCAGGCTGCAAGTTTCCTGGTTGCCAGTTTATAATAAATATGTTTTTTTTTTTTTCAGCTGAACTTTCCATGGACATAAATCTTTTATTTCCTTGGAAGTAATTTAAGTACATTGCTAATAAAACAGTTTACTGTGTTTATATAAAAAACAAAAAAATAAGTTTGGTAGCTTTTCAATTTGAACATGAATATGCTTAGATATTCCTAACATTCTGAAATACCTCTGACTGGAATACCATCCTATAGACTGCTTAGCAAATGAACCAAACAAGGAAAATTGTACATTTGGGTAAAAGGTATTTTAATTTATTTGGAAATATTTCATAAATTTGCTCATTAGAATTTTAAGCATCACCTTGTTGCTATAACAAAAAAGTAGCTTCATGTTAATAAACGTAACATGACATATCACTTAAATCAACATCTTTCCCTTCTTGCAATTTGAATTATTGTGATAAGGCAGGACTTTAACCTGAATAGTTGACCATGATTTCACTTGTAGAGGCTTGAAGGGAACTCTTTTTCCAAATCAGTCCACTCTTCATCTACTAGATGAAATTATACCACTAGAGATTTTATTTATTGGGTTATGAGGATCTTTTGTTAATTGACAAAACATATACCAGTGGAATGAGTGACTCATTAAGCATTACCTTATATTTTTAACTTGACCACTAGCTGGAAATACATCAGAGACATTAGTTATGTCTTTCTTCTTTCCAGTAATGGGACATCACTTTCTTTAAGGAAGTGGTTTTCTCCCAATCTACCTTTGCGCTTCCGGTGGGAGCTGCCTATCAGAATATGCTTTCTGCCCACCCTTACTCCCCTCTAGTTTGCCACCCAGCGGTGGATACGTGACCAAAGCTTGTCCAGTCATAGTTCCCCATCCTCGTTCACAAGGTTTGTTTCATATCCAGGGATGAGAACCAAACCCACACTGGACAACGTTCTCTCCGATACTTTTGTAACTAGAACTCCTGAAAAAACCTGCTGTATTTCTTCTCTAGAGAAGAGGTGTTAAGAATTGTTGCCCAAAGCTGCATATCATGGTGTTTCCAGTCTCTTCTGATATCTAGCTTAATAGGGGGGAGTCTCAATGCAAACAGTAGTACAGTATGCTGGTGGTGCCTGAGAACCCAAATCCACCGGACTCTAAGGCTAACAGCATGTCCTTTCATGATTTGTTTACATGTGTCCATTATCCTTTCTCCTTAAACTAGGTCTGAGAACCACAAACAAAGGACACAAGATAACTAGAGGAAGGGTGGTGTTTTAGGTCCAGAAATACGTGTGTGGGTGGGTCAGCCCTAATTGTTCTGTGGTTATATAAGGACCATTGTGTGTTAAAGTTATTTGATATCTTTTCAGACTTTATTTTGAAGTGAACTGAGAGTTAGGGCAAAGGGACCCACATCTCTAAAAACATCAACTAATATTACTCTGGGACCAGAATGACCTCCACAGCCTCCAAAACTACTGCATTCAGGTTGAGGCTGCATGGGGCTGGCAGAAGGCTAAGAATGTGCAAGTTCTCAAATATTTGATTTGAGACATTGAGCATAGTTGATTCAGTAACTCAGTTTCTCCTTGTGTGAGAGAAGCAATGTACATGTCTAAAAGTGGGTCACTATTTTGACCCATAACAGACCTTAGAATGATTTTATATTTAAATTTCACTTTTTCTGTGCATAAGTACATCCAACCTTCCCCCTCTTACGTAGTTTTTTTAAACAAAATTATAGAGAAAAAAGGGCAAAGAAAGAAAGATGGAATTCATTATATTGTGCCTCTCCTAATCTATTAATGTTCTGGGACCTCAGTAATTAAATTTTGACCTGTTCAAATATCTGAGACCCAGTTGTTATTGGATGGTAAGTGATACTGTTTTTGTCAGAAATGAAAGTAATTATAATTAGATACCTTGCAATAATATTTTTGTGAACAGGTTTAACACTGCGGAGAACTTGTAAGCTTCTGTCAAGTGAGTTGGAGAACTTTCTCCGGTGTTCTAGGATCATTGTCAGCTTCTTCTTATGCAATCAATTGAAATCTGGCTGTGAGACCTTAAAGGCCTTTAAAAGGCTAATAATTTCTTAATAATGTCTAACGGATTTCCTTTGCTTAGCTTTCGTGGTGTTAAAACAAATTTGTAAACTGTTTTAATGTTATTTTGGTGAAAGAAACAAAACTGACCTTTAGCATATGCTTCAAGGTAACACTTACGTGCCATGTGAGCCCTGGAAAAACTCTATTCAAAACTGAAAATGAAAATCAAATTCCTAATAAAAACTTTACCATTTAGTCCCTGTGCTGGGAACGTCCCTCTTTCGAGCCCCGCATCGCCTACTTCTTCCTCCTCCATTTGTTTCCAAGTGGCTCCTCTTTTTCCAGAACTACATATGAGTAATAAAGGAAGCCAGAGTAGGAACAATGGCATGTTCCTGGCTTTGCAAGAGTGGCGCACATCAAAGGAAAACATTTATCCTGGGGAGCCACAGCTTTGCAGGAGGTCACCGGACAGAAATAAGGTTGCTATTGCCGCTACACGGCAGAGAGAAAGTCCTTGTCTGTTGAAGCTGGAGAAAGCAGCTGACGCAGGGCAAGTTGCTGCTCTGGCTGCAGACTAGCTAGACTACGTTATGTATGTGCTTTTGTCGACTCAGGCAAACTAATGCATGTCTCTAAGCCTCTGCTTATTCTTATAGATTCTACAAATGCACTTACCTTAGGTCGTTTTGAGAACTAAGCATACATGAAATGCTTAGCAAAATGCCTGGCACATAGTATTAAATGTTAACTTGTATTATGGCAATGATTCCCCCCCAAAGTGTATTCAGAACCTCTTAGTAAAAGAAGTATTTTTTTAAAAACTCAAAACCAACGTAGATATTAAATTTTTCTGAACCTGCCCTGCTTGGTTTCTGCTTCACTCATCTCTTGGCAAGGATCTCATCTCTTCTTTGTGCCTGCTAACTTATCAGCTTGCATTTTTTTTTTAAGAGACATGAAAAGGATTTATTAGAGGTAGATATAGGACCCACTCCAGAGCAGAGTATGGAGCGCCCCAGCTTGCACTTTTGAAGAAGCCTTTGGCACTGCTCAAGAGCCCCGTCCCCCAAAGTGTCAGGCCTTCCTTCTTAGGCTCTATCCTTCCCTCCTTGTCACCCAGCTGGTCCAGTGACACTTCCCTAATCTATTTCAGTCCAGCCCTTCATCTTTAGAGACTTCTGAATGCACTTATTCATTCTCGGCCCCCTAAGGTGAAAGGGAATCCAGGCTGTGGCTGGTAGTTCACATGCTGTCTCCATTCATCTCTAACGGGGGTCAGGCCAGGCCAGCAGGCTCTGGCCTCACATTTTGCTTTGCTGCCAGCGGAACTGCGCGATTTACCCAGGGTGAGGGGCCAGCCCGGCCGTCACGTGGGAACACTGACCTCTAGGGGCTGGCTCTCTCTCACAGAGTGTCTTTATCTTCTCATTGAGCTCCAGCACTGCGATGGCAGCCTCTTGCTTTGTTGTTGCCAAATCAATTTGTAGCTTTTTCACTTTTTTTTGGTGCTTTAATTTCTTAAAAAACAAAACAAAACAAAAAAACAGAGTTTCCATTACTAGAGACAGAAGCATCAAAGGAAGAAAAAGAAGTAATGATGGCTGAACAAACATTGCCTTTGGAGCCGCGCTTAGAGGAACTATCCCCTTTGTCTAGAGGGAGTCGTTGGGAGTCAGTGACAGCATGTGTGTCCTCAGGACGTTTGAAAACCCAGCAATAAAAACCCACTTTCTACATTGTAAGACCTTCCAGTCTCTGGAAAGGTTTTTAATCTGAATCTGAACCTTGTGGGTTGGCCATTTATAGTAAAGGCAATTAGAGAGAAACTCTAGTGGTCAGTTGGCATGTATCAGTGAGGTGCTAATGCCTAAAAGTGTTAGATTTGTGGTTTTTTTCCTAGTCTATAGGTAGACTTATGTGAAATAAAGCCTTAATTCTGAGTTAGCCCCCACATTTGAATATTACTTGCAGTCAAACTCTAAAGTGTATGATGTTGCCATGAAGTGATGCTGTTTATGCATATTTATTACCGTAGCTATATAAGGATGGTGTTCTTGGATAAGCCTGGTTCTTAATGAGTAGAGGACAGGAAAACCTTGCTATAAAAATAGTCTCATTTTAAAATCTAAACATTTGGGAGAACTGCATTAGGCAGTTGTTACATAATGGAAGGATTCACCTTGAGACTTTATAGAAAGCTCCTTTCATGGATTTCAAAGGGGATTTGATTTGTCGAAATTGGATTCATCTGTGATGCTGGAGAAGCTGTCTGTTGTGACAAGTGCTGCATTTGTACTTTTGTGTTGCTTTTGGGTCGCTGCCTTCCCACCGGAGAGCTCACCTTGCCAAGTCTTTGTGGGCTTGTAATTATGAAGCCCAGAAAATGAATGATTAAAATTGCTTGCCAGATATAACTCTTGTGATAGGGAAAGAAATGGGCTTTGCTCTCTAGGGAGGTGCTTATTCTTCTGTGGCCTCTGTCTACTCTGGTGCCAGAGAATCACTCTCTTCTTTGAGAGCAAAGCCAATAAATTCAGTTTATCAAAGATGACATTAGATAGCCACAGACCTCCCACTTTATAGACAGGTTGTTGGGTTAGGGGTGTAGCTCCATGGCAGAACATTTGCTTAGTCTGTGTGAGGCCCTGGGTTCTATCCCCAGCAGGTGGGCACAGGGAAGAGAAAGATTGTCTTCTTGATCTAACACAGGATGGTGAACATGGCTACAAGGGAACGTGTTACTCAAGAGTGGCCAGTTGAGCAACGTTCCAGGGGTTGGAGGGCTCATCCCGCACAGTCCAGGTGAGAAGTGCCCTGAGCACCGCCCAGGTGCCTGTTGTTTACAGCAGTTCTCCTACAGTGGTGTTGGAGTTCCCTAGGCATCAGACACTCTCTGGGCCGGCTTTTGAAACATCAAGATTGGTAAGATCTCTGCCTCCAGACCTAAAACCTTCAAATTTCCTTCATTCAACTCTCCTCTCACTAAAAACCTTCATAATTGGGGCAGCCATGTAAATTAGATCAAGTAGAAACTGAACGATCAGGAAATGTGTCTGAGCATTTGATAGCTGTGTTTCTCATGGTGAATTATTAAATTCTCATGCTAATCCAAACCTTCCTCTTTTGTGAGATGGCTTGAGTCAGCTTGTTCCTGAGGACCTTGTGCCTCCCAGGCCACTAGCTCTGGTGGTCACCAGTGATCTTTTCTTTTTTTTCTTTTCTTTTCTTTCCTTTCTTTCTTTCCTGTCTTTTCTTTCTTTTCTTTCTTTTTCTTTCTTCTTTCTTTCTTTCTTTCTTTCTTTCTTTCTTTCTTTCTTTCTTTCTTTCTTCTTCTTTCTTTTTTTTCTCTTTTTTTGAGACAGACTCTCACTGTGTAGTCCAGGATGGCCTCAATATATGGCAATCCTCCTTCTTCATTCTCCCCAGGGAATACAGGTGAGCACCACCACACCTATCGTCTGATGTTATTTTAATACTGTTCCACATTCAAAGTTTTACACTTCTCTTTTACTACTTAGAATTTTGAGGATAGAAAATGGGAGGAAGCATACAGAAAGAAAAATTGAGACAGTGAAGGAAACGAAGGAAAGTATTGTAAGAGGCATTCAGAAGCGGCTGTGAACTCACAAAATTTGTAAACAGAAAAACCCCAAAACCAAACCACTGGTAATGATAAGCAAGTTGAAGTGCTGAAGGTTGGGCACGTTGATGAAAGCAAGTTACTCAAAAGTGCATTACAAAGTAGGCCGAGGCTGGGGCTGTAGCTCTGTGGCACAGCGCCTACCTGGCAAGCACAAGCCCTGAGTTCAATTCCTAGTACCAATAAACAGGAAAAAGTAGGCAAGACTGATACACAACTAGAGAAAGGAATAGATATGGGACACAATGAAGGTAGCAAAATGTTAATCATAGAATTAGTTGTTTGCCTATATGGTGCTCACTGTAAAATTACTGCACCTTTCTGCATGCCTGAAAGTTTTTACATTAAGGTATGAGGGGGAGAAAGAATTGAAGCTTTACTTTCCTTACAATGCCCTCCTTCATTATGTCATAATAGTGATGTTCATATTCTTGAATCTAGTCACAGCTGTGCAGATGGTGAGAATTGTCGGGCTATCATTATGTGCTTTTGTGGTCTCTACAGTTTTCTTAGTCTACTTTTCTATTTTGACAGGACAACTTGACAGAATATAGGACTCTACATTACAAACACAGCTACTCTTAATGTCAGTTAAGAAGAGTCAACTTGTGTGTGTGTGTGTGTGTGTGTGTGTGTGTGTGTGTGTGTTGGAGCCAGAGATTGAACCTAGAGCAAAGCATGCATTCTGAACTAACATAATCTCTCAATGTTTCCTTTAAGAAGTTTTAACCTTTAAAAAAATATAATTTCCAGACTACCCTTTTGTCTTTCTTTATTACTAATTACGTGTTCTGTCTCTATTTATTGTTCTAACGTTTGTATTTTTTCCCTATGATCTATAGGGAAACAGGATATTTATTTGGTTTGCAGAAGACAGTACACAGGGCAGTCATGCTAATTGTCTTCAGTTATACAAGGCCTGTTCAGAAGATGAGGAAGTTGAGTCAAAAGGTATTGTTCTGCTGGTACCACAAGAACAATAGGTAGAAATCTTGAGGAGGCAGGCTTTGGCACTCCGTGAGAAAGCATCCTCCAGCAGTCAGAGGTTCATTCATATCAAGATAGGATGGGTCCTGGCAAAGACCTCTTGCTCTGGCAATGATTGAGCAGAGACTGGGCAAGTGCTGCAGGCAGAACCACTGTCACCTATGGGACCTAGGTCAAGAGGTGTTTGGAAGTTTGGCTCCACCTCAGCTCTTTCCGCCTGGCTTGACCCCCACACCCCATGCTTAGCCCTTATGCCTCTAGAGTTGGGACGCCTGTCAGGGACACCTCAAAGATAGTTCTAGTGTTCATAAGAAATCAGACAGAAAGCTTGTGTGTCCCTTAGAACTTTATTTAGCTATAGGCAAAGGGAAGTATACTGTTAAATTTAAGTTAAAAATTGAATGAAAGACCTTAATTGGTTGTCCGAGGTTTCTATTGGGACCTTATAGTTCTTCAAATACTTTAAAAAATAGTTTAATATTGTCATCTTTTTTTTTTTGACAGAACTGCTGTATGCTATTAATTCAGAGCTTTGACCAAGTCCTTTGGGCAGTTTGAAAAATTCAATTTGCCAACATGTTTTTTATTAGTCATAGACATCAAATGATTTAAACTATGATAATATTTTCCTTTGCTTTTTTGGCATTCATTTGCCAGGCAACCTGAGTGTTGTACTTGAATCTAATGGAGTCTGTTATGGTCTCCTTGGTAACTAGAGAGTCTTCTCAGAAATTGCCCAATGGATAGGGAGGTTTTATCGCTTGGAGGTAAATTCCTATTAACTTGCTTTCCTCCTACTTTTTCTACATGGTGGAAAGAGAGAGGAAATCATGTATTTGTGCAATGTTTTGAAAAGGAAATATTTATCCGTATCATATTGCTGAATGGCTTGCATTATATCAAGTCAATGAGAATTAGAAATAACCAGGGGACTATTATTAGAAGAGTTTCAAAGACAGCTGCCAGCTCCATTTAAAGTTTTGGGATATTTCCATGTACTCTGAATCACGGCCTCTGTTTATGAGGCTGAGCTTTGTCACTTACTGACCATGAGAACTTGGGCCAGACACATGATATCTCCAAGCCTAGGATCCCAATTCATAGGGTTGTTGCAGGGATCCAGTGATATTCTATCTGACCGGCAGTACCTAGCACTGCCATTGAGATATAGTGATGCCTTTCTGTGTTTCATCATTATTACTTGAAAAACACAAGTGAAAGCTTTAACCCCTCAGTAAAATGCTAAAGTATCTTTTCTAGAGATGTCTTTATCACACTTTACAGAAAATAAAATTCATACTTATTTAAAAGCAGTATGGTTGTCTTTTTCTCCTTCCTCTTTTGTTTTTAAAGATACATTTTCTGCATGATTGGAATGATCTCTTCCTCACTGTATGGGTAGATAAAACTATGTCCTGAAAACAGATACGCAAATAGCCTTGATCCAATCTCCTGCCAAAGCTGGCTGATGGCCAGGTGGCCTCCTGCATGGACTGATGCGAGGAGAAAGAACAGTGAGGCCTGAGCTTCCCCACAGTAGCTCTCTCTCGTGCCTGCCAGAGCACAGCTTTGCCTTACTTTGTCTGAAACCTACCCTGCCCATCCCATCCCATCCCCTCTACCTTAGAGCAGTAACAGACAGTGCTGGCTTTGGCAGCACAAACGCTAGAGCTATAATAAAAATCTACAGCAAAGTTAAAGTTTTGTCTCCGGGGATCACTGATAGGCTAATAGGGCACTGGTGGCTCACTGCCAGGGTATAGCAGAAAGCTTGGTTTGAATACAGAAGCTGTAGACATGTTCCTCCTTCCATTTCTCTTCTAATAACTATCATTAATAATAAAACTAATGAAAGTATAGTAGCATTTGAATGCAACTTATCTTCAAGAT